AGACTCCGACTCAGCTGTGTACTACTGTGTTCTGAGTGACACAGTGACAGGAACTGCAGGGGGAGCTGAGCACAAACTCTGAGCAGCACAGGTGGGATTACTGAGTCTCTAAACAGTGATCCAGGAGCTCTGGTAGCGTAGTGGCTACGAATCGGGCTGCGAACCTTAAGGTCAGCGGTTCGAAACTACCAGCCGCTCCGCGGGAGAAAGATGAGGCTTTCTACTCCCGTAAAGATTTACACCCTCGGAAATCCTGTACAGGGTCGCTATGGGTCAGAACTGACTCGACGGCACTTAACAACAACAAACAGTGATCCACACTTGTTTAGAAACCAAGAACTAGTAGAGTGTGTTGTCACCAGCCACCCACCCCAGACACTCTAGTTGGTATGAAAGCCATCCAAATCCACTCTATGAACACATCAGGAGAACAAGAAGTAAACATACCCCACATAAGATCATTCAATGGTGAGCCTGAAAACAATCTGGTATCAAGTAATTTCTCAACCAGGGCTGCAATTTGGAATTTTGGAAGTATAACAACTCAAGATGTGTTCATTGTTATATAAAATTTTAGTCCTCAGATCTTGTCCCCAGAGTCCTGGTGTGGTGCTGTAGGGTAAGCACTGGACTGCAAGATCGGCAGTTCAAACTCACCAGCCGCTCCTCAGAAACCCTATACAGGGTCACTGTGAGTCGGAAATGACTTGACAGCGCTTAAAAACAACAGCAATCTTGTCTCAAGGAGCCCTATTGACATAGACATTAAGCACAAACTGAAAGGTGCTTTACAGAAGAAAGATATGACAGTTTGCTTCCCTAAAGATTACAGCATTGGAAACCCTATATGGCATTTCTACTTGGTTCTATAAGGTTGATATGAGTCAGCAGTAGATTTGGTTTGCATATTAACTTTGATTCAGGCCATCCAGGGAGATAGTGCAACCTAGAGTTGATGAGGTTGTACATGCCTAATGTGTCCCTGACAAGCTGGAGCATGAAGATGTGACTTCCTCGGGAATCGTTGGTCTAAAAAATAATAAGTTCATTAAGGAAGAAAGAGATGTAAGGAAGGAAGGAAGAGTCCTACATATGACCATATGGGGATGGAACATTTTTTTAGTGAAAATTAAAATGTAGAGATAGACCAGTGTTCTATAAAAGACATGACTTATATCTAAATTCTGTTGAGGTCTCCCATCATGAATAATACTTCAGTGAAGCAACTTTCTAGCAGTAAGAACTGCTTAAGGTAAATGGACAATGTCCATAGTCTGGTGAAAGAAAACTCTATTAGCTTAAATTCTTCATCTCTAGATTGTTGGTTATGATTTGTGGGGAGGTATGTGGTCTGAAAGTCAGACAAGAGCTCCTAAAAGTTGTATAAAACAGAACAGTTTTTGTAAGCGTAGACACACAGGAATAAGGAAGAAACATTAGTCAAATTTCAGATGGACTGGCAGGCATTTTCTTCCCTTATTTGGAATTATGGGGAAACTTTGAATTAGATTAAACTATGAAAGTCTTGAATGACTAGTTTAGGTTTCTGTTTCTCGAAGAGTCGACTGGTTGACTTAGATTTTGGCTCATCAGAAGATTAGGCATTTAGGAGAAACAAAAACTTAGGCTTTGGTTTGCTATTGTGGCAATAGCCTACCGTGCACACAAGGTTCAAGTAGCTTGGTGTTTGGTTGCTAACCTAAAGGTTGGCAGTTTGAATCTACCATGGGCTTCACAGTTAGAAAGATGTGACTATCAGCTTCCATAAAGATTATAGCTCTGGAAGCTCCTAGAGACAGTTATATTCTGTTCCGTAAGGTTGTTATGAGTCAGAATCTACTTGATGGCAATGGAGTTATAGTCAGGTTAACTACCCTCATGCCCTCCACTACCATACACAGCAAGTACTCATCACTACTAGGACAAGAGACTAAAAATACACATTCTGGAAACAATGTTTGGCTTTGGGGACACCATGTAAATCTGAGAATGTGAGTGAGGTGTCAAATAAAAAAAAAAGGAGAGCTATGTTAATATGCTGGACTGCAAAATTGGCTTAAATTATAAGGTCGGTGGTTCAAGCTCATCAGGTGCTCCTAGGAAACCCTAAACAGGGTCACTATGGGTCAGATCTGACTCAATAACACATAAGAACAACAACAATAACATATGAATTCCTATGTTCAGAATTGTCAGACCTTCAGCTCCTGTCTTTCAATCAACTTTTGCTTGGATATCATTTACATGTAGCTAGAGGGTTACTAGAACATTCCTTTCTTTGAAAATCTATAAAAATAGCCTTTCTCTAGCCTACAATGCACACAAGATTCAATTAACTTTTTTTTAACCCCAACTTTTTATTGTTAATTGACTGAAGGAGTACAGAGAAGATTATTATCAGGTTTGTATTCCACAATTCATATAATATGCTTCATGTCAGTGATTGTAATTCCTCCATGTAACCAGTTATCTCATTTCCTCACTGGGGTTCTTATTTCATTCCACCCTCTTTCCAATCCCTTCTCAAATTTATCCTCAGGTAAATATTGCCCTTTTTGATCTTGAATGGTTGACCATTCCATGGTATGCATCCCTTACTAGGGTTGTTGCCATTTCTGTATACCTACCTATTACTTGTCTGAAAATTGGGCTATTAGGATGAGTTCCATAACAGACCTGAAAGATGGTTGAGGATCACAGTATCTGGTTTCTTAAATCTCTTTTTGAAAAGTAAACCCAATCTTATTTATAATTTTGAGATTTGTTATATATTTTCTCCCACTGTATCCAGGACCTTAAGCCTTGACTTGAAATATTGAAGGAGTCCATGGATAAAATATTGAATGATGCAGAAAGCATCCAGAGAAGATGGAAGGAATACACACAGTCACTGTACCAAAAATAAATGGTCTATGTTCAACAGTTCAAGAGGCGGCATATGATCAAGAACCTATGATATTGAAGGAAGAAGTCCAAGTTACACTGAAAGCATTGGCAAAAACAAGGCTCCAGCAATTGATGGACTACTAATCAAAATCTCTCAACAAACTGATACAGCACTGGAGGCACTCACTCATCTACACCAAGCAATTTGGAAGACAACTACCTGGACAACTAATTGCAAAGTTGTGTCTATATTTGTGCCCATTCCAAAGACAGGTGACCCAATGGAATACAGGAATCATTGAAAAATATCATTACTATCACATGCAGGTAAAATTTTGCTGAAGATAAATCAGGAGTCCTGGTGTGGCTCTGTGGAATAAAGCACTAAACATCAAAGTCAGTTTGAATTGTAAGGTCGATGGTTCAAGTTTACCAGCAGCTCCTCAGACACCCTATACAGCTGGATGGCACTTAACAATAACAACAAAAATTTAAAAGCAGTTTCAAAATTACATAGACAGGGAACTACCAAAAACTCAAACCAGATTCAGAAGAGGATGTGGAATGAGGGATACCATTGCTGGCATCAGAAGAATCTTGGCTGAAAGCAGAAAAGACCAAAAAGATGTTTACTTGTGCTTTATTGACCATGAGAAGGCTTTTGACTTTGTGGATCATGACAAGTTATGGACAACATTGTTAAAAATATGTGTTCCAGAGGACTCGATTATGTTCATGAGGAATCTGTACAGACCAAGAGGCAGTTCAACAAACAGAACAAGGGGAAACAAAATTATTTAAAATCAGGTAAGGTATGTACCAGGGTTGTATTCTTTCGCCATACTTATTCAATCTGTATGCTGAGCAAATAATCCAAGAAGCTGGATTATATGAAGAATGTGGCATCAGTATTGGAGGAAGGCTTATTGCAACCTGAAATAATGCAGATGATACAATCTTGCTTGCTGAAAGAAAAGAGAATCAAAAACACTTATTGATGAAGATCAAAGACTCAAGCCTTTATTATGGATTGCACATCAATGTGAAGAAAACAAAAGTCCTCACAACTGGGCTAATAAATAACATCATGAAAAATGTAGAAATGATTGAAGTTGTCAAAGATTTGATTTTGCTTGGATCCACAGTCAGCACTCAGAGAAGCAGCAGTCAAGAAATCAAACAATATATTGCAATAGGCAAATCTGTTGCATAAGACCTCTTTAAAGTGTTCAAGAGCAAAGGTATCAATTTGAGCACTAAAGTGCACCTTACTCAAGCCATGGTATTGTCAATCCCCTCATATGCATATGAAAGTTGGACAGTGAATACAGATGACCATAGAAGAATCGATGCATTTGAGCATCGTTGTGTTGTGGAAGAATCAGAGTACACAGAACTGCCAGAAGAACAAACAAATTTGTGTTGGAAGAAGTACAACAGAATGCTCTTTAGAAGTCAGGATGGCCAGACTGCATCTCTCATACTTCCAACATATATTATCAGGAAGAACCATTCCCTGGAGAAGGACATTAAGTGTGATAAAGTGGAGGGTCAGTGAAAAAGAGGAAGACCCCTAGCGAGATGACTGGCACAGTGCCAATGGCAATATGTGAAGTGTAGCAACAATTGTGAGGATGACACAGGACTGGGTAGTGTTTCCTTCTGTTGTGTGTAGAGTCTCTATGAGCTGGAACCAATTCTAGGGCACCTAATAACAGCAACAATGCAGGACCTTCGAGTGTGATCTCTTTCAGAGCAGTTGGTAGTGGTAGCTAGACACTGTCTATTTCTTCTGGTCTCAGTGTCAGGGTGAGTGATGCTCACATGTTTCATTGGTCCACTGGACTAGTTGATTCCAAGCATCTTCAAATTTTTATCACTCTTCTTTCTACTTTACATGGAGAGACCAATAGTTGCATCTTAGATGGCTGCTCATGAGCCTTTAAGATCCCAGTTGCTACTCATCAAAGGAGGACATAGAACATTGCCTCTGTTGATTTGTTGTCCCCTTGGATTTTTATCCCAAGTCCCCAGGCTCAGCAACTCATTGCTTTAAGATATTTGATACTATCTAAGAAGTTTTCAACATTTTGCCTGCCCCTGTATGCTTCACCATGTTCATAGGTGGATTTGCAGCAGAGGTAAGTACTCATGTACAAATATTCTTTGTTAAATTCTTATATGTTGTTGATATACTTACACTCTTTCTCCCATACCCATTCAACCTATGTGTCTATCTGTGTAGAACACTTTTATTCCAAGGTTGTGCATATAAACGTATTTACCTCTATCTCTTTTAACCCTTGCATTCTTCCCAGGGTCTTCACCTGCCTTCATCATTATTCTGCCAACCTTCCTCTTCTTGTGTAGTGCCCTCCCCATCACCAAAGTTGATATGTGCATACACTCTAGTTAGTGAATTACTCTCCCTTCCCTTCCAGTCTTGGTATGCATAAAAGAAGGTTTCTTTTAGCATGAAAACCGTTTATTTAATTTTTACAATAGTGGTTTCATGGAATATTTGTCCTTTTGTGATTGACTAATTTCACTCAGCATAATGTCATCCAGGTTCACCCATGTTATGAAGTGTTTTGCAAATTTACCATTATTATTCAGCATTCCATTGTGTGTATGCACCAAATTTTGTTTATCCATTCTTCCATTGATGGGTGTTTAGGCTGTCTCCATTTTTTTGCTATTGTAAATAGTGCTACACTGAACATGTGTGTGCATGTATCTACTCGTGTCATAGCTCTTATTTCTTGGAAATATTTACCAGAATAAAGATTGCTGGGTCAGTTGGTATTGTTATTTCTAACTTTTTAAGAAAGTGTGATACTATTTTCCACAGTGGTTGTACCATTTTATAATACCACTAGCAATGTCTCCCAGTCTCTCCACACCTCTGTCAGCATTTGTTATTTTGTGGCATTTTTTTGAACTTTGCTACTGACACTGGGGCGAGATGTTATCTCACTGTTTATTTGACTTGCATCTCTCTACTGGTTAACAGGAGTCTTGGTGTGGCATTATAGGTTAAGCACTAAATCACAAGGTGAGTTTGAACCTCAAGATTGGCGGTTCAAACTTACTAGTTTCTTCTCAGAAACCCT